ATCAATACTTATATAAATATTGACACTGGTAATGAGCTACACTATAAATACAGATATTTCTTCAATGTAAACCTACATATGTCCACATCCATTCTGAACAATTTCACATTTCTGGACTCTATTTATATGAAGTACTTGACACAAACTAAGAGCTTAACAAATTCTTTCTTTCCCTTTTCTATTCAAATAGCGTATTTCCCTGGAATGAATTACAGAGTTTCATTTGAAAAGTAACCCATGCAGAGGCAAAGCTTTTAAGTCTTCCACTGTATTTGTTTCTAGAACTCTTTCTAAAATGTATTAGGTATCACACACTGCCTGCTTTCTAAGCTCAAGTAGGCGGAACATGATTTAATTCATCTGCTGATGCCTTGTGGCCATCACGTGCTCCTACACACCCTGCAGGTCTCCTGTCTTTTTTCTGATCCACTTACCCAGCCCCACAGCGTCCCTCCCACCCTCTTTTATGCGCTCTTCTATCTGCTACTGTATGTTGTAGCTTCTAATAGGCTTCCTTTTTTAATGAAAAACAAAGGAGAAGGAGGAAGGAGTCTTTCCTCTGGATTTTGTGACTGAAAAGTCCTCATGGCTTACTTTACTTTTTTTTTTTTGTGAGGAAGATCAGCCCTGAGCTAACATCCATGCTAATCCTCCTCTTTTTGCTAAGGAAGACAGGCTCTGAGCTAACTTCTATTGCCAATCCTCCTCCTTTTTTTCCCCCAAAGCCCCAGTAGATAGTTGTATGTCATAGTTGCACATCCTTCTAGTTGCTGTACGTGGGACGTGGCCTCAGCACGGCTGGACAGGCGGTGCGGCGGTGCGCGCCCTGGATCAGAACCTGGGCCGCCAGTAACGGAGCGCACGCACTTAACCTCTAAGCCACAGAGCTGGCCCCTTACTTTACTTTTTGAACCTGCAATCAGGTTGCTAAAGTTGAGGATTAGTTGTAGAAAATCTGCCTTCCAGAGAAGCATTATGAAGAACAAACAACAATTATTAAATTAACATTATTAAAAACAAACAACAAAATAACCCCAAATTCTCCCAACAAAACTGTGATATGTTCCAGTCCCATAGAGAAATTATATCTGTATCTATAGCCACACACACGTGTGTGCACACATTTTTGAGCCTTGCTATGTCATATACTGTAATGATGATCACTTCACAAGAATACTGTGAGGGCCAGGAAATGAGGGGCTTGAGAGGTTATGTCACTGTCCCAAGGTCACCCAGGCAGTGGTGGAGGGGTAGAATTTGAACCCTTGGTTAATTTGATACAATCACTCTCTAGTGTTTCCTTATGGCTCAACAGATTCTGGGAATACAGAGGATCTTTGCTTTCCTTTAATGATCTTGGCTTATGCGGGGGTTATAAAAAGTTAATATGTTTGGGTTTAAGCAAAATCTTATGACTTGGTCCAGCTTTTGATTCCTCTCATTGGTTACCTCAGTAAAAACCAAAGGTGGTCTTCTGTGGACTGATGACTGAGATTTTTTTGTGAAATTGAACTCTCTTGTGGCTTTGGAAGAAAATCCAGGCATGTTGATAGGTGAGTTCAATTTAAATCTTTTAGTGATACCAGTTGATATCTACAGTTCCACATTATTTATGTCTTTTTCCCTGTTTGAATGATGGTGTATGTGTATCCTTCACAAACATATTTATAAAAATTGATAAACAACATAAAACTATAATATTTTAAAATAAGAAAGACTCTTAAATATAATATAGTCTTGCCCTTTTATTTCTTACAAGGAAATCTGAGGTTACTATTTATTCTTGATTTCTTTGAGGCTATAAGAGTTGGCAGCAGTGGCAGGAACAGGTCTTTTTTTTAACCATTAGTGCAATATTTTATAATCTTGTAATTTAGGACCTCATATATATATCGTATTCTGTACCCAAATGTTTAACTTACCCCCAAATCCATCAGGCACATATGTTTTAAGAACAATATTGCAGAAGATTGTTGGCAGTGATAATGGTTTATTTCCCTCATTGCGAAGAGATATGTGTCGATAACCTGCTTGGAGGCCATCCAGTGGAAGAATCCTCTGGCCAATCAGCCTGTTGTTGTCATCATACACTGCTATTCTCAAGACTGCCAGGTCAGGGAGGATTACCTGTAAACAAAAAATGGTACTTTTCATTGATTTTTGGAATGCCACTCACAAGAACCATATCTCTAAGAATCTGGACCATAACCATACTCCTCTTAAATGCTGTTTATGGTGAAACTAAGCCCATGATCAATTTGCATTCCTAAAGTATACTGTATAAGCTACAGTGCCCAAGCCATTGAGAAAGACAATTGAACAGGTTTCCTGGAAATCATCTCATGGAAAATTTTAGATGGAATGGATGTGAAAGATGACTAGTCCAATCTATGTCATCTACCCCATCCCCACTCTTGTAATGGATGAGCAAATGGAAATCTTGTGAAATCAGGTGACTTTCCTTAATCTCAAAGATAGTGACATTGGGCATGAGAATCGGGGCTCTTAACTTCTAATCCTGTGATTTGTCTACTATCTGGGCTGCTTCTGACATCTACCTCTGCCTGTTTTTTCTTGTTTTTGTGAGGAAGATTAGCCCTGAGCTAACATCCATTGCCAATCCTCATCTTTTTGCTGAGGAAGATGGGCCCTGGGCTAACATCTGGGCCCATCTTCCTCTGTTTTATATGGGACACCACCACAGCGTGGCTTGACACGCGGTGCATCAGTCCGTGCCTGGGATGTGAACCTGCGAACCCCGGGCCGCCAAAGTGGAGCTCGCGAACTTAACCGCTACGCCACTGGGTTGGCCCATCCGCCCGTTTTTAAGAGTATGGAAAGTATCTTTGAAGAAACACTCATGTATAAAAGTTTGGATTCTCCCTTTTCCTTGCACTCCTGAGTTTTTAACAAAATATTTTGGGATATTAAATAGAGTAAGATAGGGCAGCTAGAAACATTAACATATATCCAAGACATCTTGTCATCCCCCAAATGAGTAAATGGACATAGAATCTGAGCTCAGATAGAAGAATCCCTATTCAGACATAGAATAGCAACATGACAAAAGAAAATCCAATGTTTTTAATCAGGAAAGCCTTTTCATTGGCTAAGAGAAACCAAGACACCTTGGCTGATTTGAGTACTGTGTCTAAAGCTAGACAATGAATGGGTTGCCCATTTACGCCTGGAGGTTATAATTTAATTCCAACTTCATGCAGATGAAAAGGAGAAGTTGGGGCCGACACCATGGTATAGTAGGTAAGTTCAGCCGGCCCAGGTTAGTGGGTTTGGATCCTGGCATGGACCTATACTACTCATTGGCCATGCTATGGCAGCAACCCACATATAAAGTGGAGGAAGACTGGTACAAATGTTAGCTCAGGGCTAATCTTCTTCAGCAAAAAAAAAAAAAAGAAAAAGAAAGAAAGAAAAGGAGAAATCAAGCTAAAATTCAACCAACATCTGTCACTCTTTTGTTTCTCATGTGGTGAAAGGAGACTTACCTTGTGAGATTAGTGTAAAGAACAAAACAGTAAGAAAGAAAACAAAGTTAAGGGACTTGGTATCGATGAAAGGCAATTTAACTTCTGAAGAACAGTGAAGGATCCAGAATCGGCATCCTGCTTCTGGGAGCAGTAATATTACATGTAAAAACCAAGTTTGATATTTCCTTATTCATCAAAAACAAAGAATGCCTTAAGTCAACTTTCTGAATTTCTAGAAATGTGTGTAGGGATTATTCATTATGCTAAGGAACAATGGCCACACTGACAACAGATCCGCTATAACAAATTAGAAAAGCCTGGGAAGAAAAAAAGACAAATCACAGCTGTGTACGCTACAGTCTGATGTAGAAAAGAAGGTGACAATGGGGGGTTGCATGGATAATTGAATTCACATCACAGGGAGAGTCTAAATTTTAAAATGGCTTATTTCATTGAACTACATTGATTTTCCGTAACCTGGTTGCTGTAAACCTGTTAGCCTATTCTGAAGTTGATAATCCTTATTTTTATTACCATAAGAAGCCAATTATCTGTTTTGCATGACATACAAATGGGGTAGAAACACCTGGAAAACCTGTGCCTAAAGAAGAATCAAGAAACCATTTTGGTCAGGATAACAGAACAAGTGAGAAAGAAAAACAGCCATTCTTGGAGACAGTACTGCCAATGCATGGATTTTTCAATACATCTTCAATTGACAAAAGAGAAACAACAGGAAAAAATGACTACAAGATAAAAAACTGAATCATTAGAGAGAACGCCTGTGACTGGTCTTAGGATCAAGGCATAGTATTGGGGGAAAAAACCCCAAAACCAAAAACAGCACATGAAGCACAGAACCTGTGGGTAGCAACAGGTACCACACTTTCTGGAGGCACAGGACAATACCAATTGACTCTTTCAAGGACATTTATCGGCCTTAGTTTTGGGTGCAACACCCTACCTGTCCTCTTGGCTTATGGAACAGCGCAAGTTACCAGCTGCTGCCAGGGCAGGGAAGAACTCTCCAGTGTATGATGGTGTCCACCAGTGAGGACACATTCCAAGTAGATTGCAAACCTGGAGCTTGGGCATTGGCATGTTGGAGGTGGGCTCCTCCAAGGAGGAAAGGAGAGCCAAAAGGAAGACAGGGACAACAACAATCACATGACAGCTACGGAAGTTACCCAACAGAAGAAGGGAAAAGGAAGACACTTTGGGTTGAATAATTGTCTGTATATCATGTGGTGTCTATGCACTAAAATGTGGCTCCCAAGTTAGCAGAGTGACTCTGACACATTGAAAATGTCCTACCTTCCGAAATACAAATGACTCTTCATTGTAAACTGGATTGAGTCCGTTGTTCATCACCATGCGAGTTCGGAATTCCTTACGTATAGTGTCAGTGGGCAACCCATACATATCAACTTCTACGTATGTGCCAATTTTCTTGTCTGATAAGAACTGACCTGATATGACCTGCAGCAACACAGAAATAAGATGAGAGAGAAGTAAGTCTGTGTCATCATCAGTTGCAAAGAATAATCTGGAAGTAAGAAATTCTCTGTCCATCTTCAGAAATTTTATTATCTATGAAAACAATGTATTAATTCCTTATTAAAAAAAATTATTGAGTGACAACTATATGCAAAAAACTATTCTAGGCAGAGGTTCTACCTTGAGAACTGTCTAGAAAAAGAAAGAGGGAAATATACACAAATCATATAATACAAAGAAACAGTGTCCACAGAATCTTCATTTCACCTAAGTGGTCACGTCTATGAAATGAAGTGATGGGTTCAAATATGCCCTGAGATCCCTTCATAGCTCCGAAATTCTGCCGTGCCATACTTTTACTGAATTCTTTTAAGAGTCTTGAAAAGAGACACACAGAAAGAAAAGCAATTGCTAAAATGTGCCTGTTATTCTTTACTGATATTGACACTGGTCAGCTATGACAGTGATATTTTTTGTAAAGACCAGCATTAAATTCTATCTATTATAAAGCTATAGAGAGACTTTTTCATTTACTTTCCAAATGACTACAGCCATTTATTAGGTTTTTTTCACATTATCTAATCACTAATGATTTTGAAATTGTTTTTTGAGGTATAACTGACATACAATAAACTGTACCTATTTAAAGTGTACAATGAGATCAGTTCTGACATACGAGCACATCTGCGAAACTATCACCACAGTTAAGACAACAACATTTCCATCACCCCCCAAGTTTCTTTGTGCCCTTTTATAATCTGTCCCTTCCTCTATCTGCATCTGGAGGAAACTACTGATTTACTTTCTGTCACTATATATTAGTTAGCATTTTCCAGAATTTTGTATAAATGGAAGCATATAGTAGGTATTTTTTTTCATTAATAAATTTTGTTTTCTACAGCAGTTTTAGGTTCACAGCAAAATTGGTCAGAAAGTACAGAGAGTTCTCATATACCCCTGTCCCCACCCCTCAAACTCCCCTACTAAAGATATCTTGCATCACAGTGGTACATTTGTTACAATCTACATCTGATGAACCTACATTGACACATCATTATCACCCAAAGTCCATAGTTTACATTAGGGTTTACTCTTGGTGTTGTATATTCTATGGAGCTAGACAAATATATAATGACATGTATCTACCATTGTAGCATCATACAGAATAGTTTCACAGCCCTAAAATCCTGTGTTCTGCCTATTCATCCCTCCCCCAACCCCTGATCGTTTTTACTGTCTCCATAGTTTTTTTTTCCCCAGAATGTCATATAGTTGGAATCATACAGTATGTAGCTTTTTCAGATTGGCTTCTTTCTTTCACTTTTCTGAAGTGAGGTAATGTACATTACCTTTCACTTAGGTAATGTACATTTAAGTTTCCTCCACATCTTTTCATGACTTGATAGCTCATTTTTTTTAGTGCTAAATAAGATTCCATTGTCTGGATGTACCACAGTTTATTTGTCCATTCACCCACTGAAGGGCACCTCACTTGCTTCCAAATTTTGGCAATTATGATAACGCTGCTACAAACATCCTGTGTAGGTTTTAGTGTGGACATAGGTTTTCAATTCATTTGGGTAAACACCCAAGGGTACTATTGCTGGATTGTATGGTAAACGTGTGTTGAGTTTTATAAGGAACCGCTATACTATCTTCCCAAGTGGCTGTACCATTTTGCAGTCACCATCAATGAATGAGAGTTCATGTTGTTCCGCATCCTCTAGTAGGTACTTTTTTGATGTGATGTCTTTCACTAAAAGTAGTTAACAATTTGACTAGTGAAAAACAAATGTATCTCAAGAAAAAAAGGGGGAATTTTAAGTCAAAGTTGAGGGCAACATATGGATCTTTCAACTTGACATTAAATATTTTAATTGTGATTTCTTAAGACTTTCCCAAGCCCATCAGCTACATGTTTATACTACTCTTTGCAGAGCAGGAGCCTTACCTGCACTGAGCAAGTGGCTGCAATAACCCCATCGACAGGAGTTTCAGAGAACGGATCAAATGTTCGATCAGGCCGTCTCATGAAATCTGGTTTGAGAAGGTACCTGGTGGGACAAAGCACAGAAGGAGTTTATTTTATTTTTATTAGTTGCTTTTACAAAGACTAAAACCATCACTATTTGAGACACTGAATACTTCTTTTTCCCCATCTCTAACTTAAGAGCTAGCCTTTTAGGAAGAAGATTCTAAGGACTAAAAAGAATATAGATTGAAGAGAACAGGCAGGGTCCCTATTGATAATCCTAAAGGGGAGCAGGGAAGAGAGAATGTTCTCTAGATTCCAGACTCAGTGACATCTAGGACTTCCTGATACTATCATCTTCTCTTGAATTTGTTTATGCCGTGGGCGTCTTTAGATACTTTCTCTTACATACATAAAATAAAATACAAAGAATAACAATGAAAAACCAATTATATGAGCTATAGTTATCAAAATACGGAAAATATAGGATATTTTACTACTTTATTAATTGTGTTTTAATTAATGCGTTAAATTATGAGATCTAATAGCAAGTTTTACAATTACCATAGTTTCAAAGTACTGATATGCATAAAAATATTTTGAGAGATCTGTAACAACAATAATGAGATATGAAAATATCTGTGATTTATACTGGTGTCAGAGTCACAGGTACCACTAACATTACTGTGGATTGTTGTCTACATTCACAATCAAAGGAAATGTCAAATTCCAGTTAGAGGTTGGTGAAAATAAAGATATAATTATTTCTCCATTTCTAGCCAGGGTAATTAGGCAAGAAAATAAAATAAAAGGTATCTAGATTGGAAAGAAGTAAAACTATTTCTACTTGCAGCTGACATAATCTTGTACATAGAAAATCCTAAGGAATTCACTAAAAAAAAATCAGAACTAATAAATGAGTTTAGTGAAGTTGCAAGATATAAAATAAATATACAAAAATCAATTTTATTCCCATACACCAGGAATAAACAATCCGAAAATGAAATTAAGAAAACAATTCCATTTATAATAGCACCAAAAAGAATAAAATACTTAGGAATAAATTTTAAAAAATGAGCGCATATACTTTGAAAACTAAAGAACATCATTGAAAGAAATTAAAGAAGAATCTAAATAAATGGAAAGACACCTTGTGTTCACGGATCAGAAGACTAAATATTGTTAAGATGGCCCTATTCCCTAAATTGATATATAGATTCAATGCAATCGCTATCAAAATCTCAGCTGGCTTCTTTGTAGAAATTGACAAGCTGATTTTAAAATTCATATGGAAACTCAAGGACCAAGAATAGTCAAAACAATCTGGAAAAAGAAGAACAAAGTTGGAAGTCTTACATTTCTCAATTTCAAAACTTTCTACAAAGCAACAGTAACCAAAACAGTGTGGTACTGGCAAAAGGAAAAGGACAGACACATAAATCAATGAGACAGAACTGGGAGACCAGAAATAAATTCAGGTATCTGTGGTCAAAAGGATGCCAAGACCATTCAGTGAGGGGAAGAATAGTCTTTTAAACAAATGGTGCTAGGACAACTGGACAGCCACATGCAAAAGAAAAAAATTGGACCCTTTTGTCACATCACAAACAAAAATTAACTCAAATTGGATCAAAGACCTACATGTAAAAGCTATAACTATAAAACTCTTAGAAGAAAACATAGGGATAAATCTTTGTGACTTAAGATTTGGCAATGGATTCTTAGATACAACACCAAAAGCACAAGCAACAAGAGAAAAAATAGATAAACTTGACTTCATCATAAAAACTTTTGTGCTGCAAAGAATACTATCAAGAAAGTGAAAAGAAAAGACACAGAATGGGAAAAAATATTTGCAAATCATATATCTGATAAGAGACTTGTATATAGAATATATAAAGAACAAATAACCCAGTTAAAAAACAGGCAAATGATCTGAATAGACAGTTCCCCAAATAAGATATATAAGTGGCCAATAAGCACTTGAAAAGATGCTTAATATCATTAGTCTTCAGAGAAATGCAAATCAGAACCACAATGAGATACTACTATACACACACTAGGATGGCTATAATAAAAAAGTCAAATAGTGAGTGTTGACAGGATGTGGAGAAATTGGAACCCTCATACCTTGCTGGTGGGAATGTAAAATGATGGGTCTGGAGTTCCTCAAACAGTTACACATAGAGTTGCCATATGACCCAGCAATTCCACTCTTAGAAAAGTGAAAGAAAAGTGAAAACATATGTCCACACAAAAACTTGTACATGGATGGTCATAGCAGCATTATTCATAATAACCAAAAGATAGAAACAATTCAGATGTCCATCAACAGACGAATGGATGTACAATATATGGGATATCCATACAATGGAAAATTACTCAGCAATAAAAAGAAATAAAGTACTGATACATGCTAGAACACGGGTGAACCTTGAAAACATTATGGAAAATGAAAGCAGCCAGTCATAAGAGACCACATATTATATGAATCCATTCATATGACATGCGCAGAATAGGCAAATAAATAGTGAGAGAAAGTAGATTAGCGGTTGCTTAAGGCTGGGGTAGGGGGCTGGGGATATTGGGAGGTTACAGATAAAGGGTATGAGTTTTCTTTTTTGAGGTGATGAACATGTTTTTAAATTGACCCCAACTACATAATGTCTGCCCCTTATGCCCACCGGGTATAGTCACAAAATCACATCTCAACCAGATTCCATAACTTTCCTGAAACTTGTGTCAAAGAACCTCATCTCTCTAAAAAATGTATTTTTTATTGCTATAAATAACTATAACCATAGATAGAAAAATTCCACATTAATATGAGCAGTACATAAAGGAAAATAAAAGCACTTTCCTCAAAACTATAGGTTTGCTTTTAAATATAAAAGCATCAAAATTGGGGGGATCAAACCTTTCATATTCCTTAGGAGCATAACTTTTACTAATTTCAACTCTAAATGATGTCAGATTTATTACTATTTTTTAAAATCAACCCAAAAGGAATCCTGAGGCATGATATTTTTCATTAAAGATTACAGTCACAGTTTTTTGGTTTTGACAAAGTTGCCGTTCTTTGCTATCGTCTAAGTCTGAACAAAAAGCGTTAAAAAGTAACCCCACATTTCACTTGGATGTAGTCGTTAATAGAGCACCTCTGAGGGACAACACTGATTTTTAAATTGGGGATATAGAGAGTTTACAGAACTGTGCAAATATTAAAGATGATTTTGAAGATTCACCTGTCCCCAAGAGAACACAACCCAAAAGATTTATATAAAAGCTTTCTAACTGCATAGAAGATATTGTTTTCTATATTCACAGAGTTTTAGAGTGGGACCTTTTTTTGTGGCTAGTGTTAGCCACTGGAAAATATGATGATACAGCAAAAGCTCAAGACTGAGGATGGAAAGCAGGTGAGTAATGACAGTACTACACACACTTCTTCAAGGGAAGCCTACCAGCTTGGTCTGGCAAAGTATCCGTCATCGGCTGCAAGGGGAGGTAACAGATGACGGTTCTGGCTTTCACAAAAGGGGTAGCATTTGGATTCCAGCTGTGTGAAATGAGGGATTCTGCCTCCTGAGAAAGGTGGGGACTCTGGGATCCATATAGCACTGTAGTCATCTTTCCAGTCTTGAGCAGTGGCTGTCCAGAGATTCAGTGTTCCCCAGTCCCCTCAGTCATTTCTGAAGGGTCAGGAGCCCCTTCTCACCAAAAATGGAGAGATGTGATATTGATGATGTCGTGGTGCCAACAACATTCTGCATTCCCTGCTTTCATATGTGCTTAGAATAAAACTAATCTGCGAAAGAGTGAATTGATGTAAAATAAGAAATGCCACAGGAAAAGGGCAAGAAACCTAAGTCCAATTCTCCAAAGCAGGAAGCCTTCAGTGTAATGTGTTCATTTTATATACTTAAAAAATAAAAGAGAACATGTAGAAGTTTGACAGGAGCACAAGGCAAGCCCTGGCCTGGGGCTGACACTTAGCCAACTTGTCTTGAACGAGCGTCTGTTCTGGGCCTGAGGTGGCCTGTGGATGCAGCAGAGGCTGCCACTCACAGCGCGGAAGGCTGTGCAGGTCCAGGGACTCCAGGAATTGACGGGGAGGCTGAAGCCAGAGCCCAGCACCAGAGCTGGCTTTACGGGTGTGGGACCTGTGCAGTCGTCCAGGACTGCAAGCTTAGAAAGGCTCCTTGCTTGATCTAACACTCTGCAGCCACTGTCTTGAAATCCTTAATAAATTGTGAACAAGGAGGCCTTCGTTTTTGCATTGGGCCCCACAAACTATGTAGTTGGTCCTGCGTGGTCTTTTTTGGTACAGGAAATGAATTCATTCCAAGCACCCAGGTCTGTGTGGTGGACGTCGGCAAAAGCCAAAGCCAGTGGCAATTGGAGGGATTCAAGCGAACCTTGTAGGGCCTCAGAAGGCAAGGGAGGGAGAGAAGAAGGGCCTTCAGCTAGGTGGGTAGACAGGAGGCATAAGAATCGGAGGATCAAGTCATAAGGAATATATCGCATTTCATCAACCGTAAGATGCCATCAAGTGTTCAACATCTCATTACTTTATTTACCAGTAAGAAAGCAAAATGGCTCCTGATTCTAACTAAGATGCCTGGATTTTAAGACATGTTCCAATTTGAGAAAGTTATATAAAAAGCGTGCATCTTTGAATCAGAAAACGTCAAACTATTTTGATATCAATTATCTAATTTCCTCTGAAAGCCTGAAAAGACTTGAGAAATTAATTTGCTCTATTTTGTTTCCTTAGGAATTACAGAAATGCCTCCCATTTTTCCATCTTTAAAAACAAGCCTGTTATAAACTACTGCTCACTTTCCTGGTGAAAATCACACTTACTGGGTCAACGGCACGATCTCCCAAAAAGACTGGCCCACAGGGCAGACAAGGATTCCCAGATATTTGTTACTGTTGCTAGATTCAGGGGGTGTACATGTGCTCTGCACACTGATGTTCTATATAAAACAGCTGTTGTTCGCCACAGCAGGCCTAAGAGGTACAGAACGCCTCTATAGAAACGCAGCTCTCAGACACAGCCCAGAGGATTTTTTAAAAAGCTCCCGCAGGTGTGTGGGACCAGGGCAATGTGGTGAAAGCCACAGAGCACCCTGGATGCCCTTGCTCCGTGGAAACGTGTCCTGCGTGGCTAGCCCCATATCCACCAGCTACGACGACTCCGTCACTGAGGGGCAAAGAGCACACAGGTGAGAAAGATTTCTTCTCTTTCCCCCATCGGTGACAACCTTTGTCTCCAGGCTGAGTGTGGGGAAAAGGAAGAGGGGGGACACAAGACTGAATAATACTGTCAATGTCTCTTACAGTTGGGCTGCCCCACTGAACAACCACATTTTTTAGTCCCTCTGGTGGGACTTAGGCCTTTGGTCACATCATCTCAAACACACCAGCACAGAATTCAGGCTAAAGTAGCACTGTCCTTGTTTGTGAACGAATTTTAAAATAAACATTGGGGCAGAAAATAAGACGCTGAACATGTGAACTATGGCAAAACAGAAACTCCTGAAAAGAAATGTTAACGAATGCACACAACTCCTGCTGGGGCCTCTTTTATCTGGAAACAATTTCCCTCCCTGCATCAGTACCAGCCATCGGGCTGCTGGGGCAAGAATGGAAAGCTCCGTTAGCATCACTGGGCCACGGGAAAGATGCAGAGGAGGGAGCAGAGCCAGGCCTGATGTGACTGGTATGAACCATGAGGGCTGTGGCTGCCTCCCTGGGCTCCTTAAAGGCCTGGTTAGAACAGAGTGCTCATTTGACCTTGCTTGGTCTCTGTGTGATCACCCATAAGGTCTTAAGCTTTTCGTAAACCTCACTTGTCCACGGAAATTTGCAGTTCAGGAAGTACTTTCATTCATATACACTCACGTTCATCCTTACTGAGGTATCACAACAAACCCGAGTGAGAGGTGTTATTGTCTTCATTTTATCAAGCAGAAAATCAAGGGTCAGCATCTAACACACCTGCCCAGGGCAACAAGGCTAGCACGCCGAGGAGCTGGGGCTCAAACCGTGGCTTCAGATTCGAGCCAAGGGCTTTTATCTCTACCCCACAGCTGTCCTCAGGTCCTTACTGGCTCAGCCCACCTCTGGGGGTCCATCCATCAATTTACGTGCACGATCTCCTGGTTATAAACACCTTGCATTCAATAACAAAACAGCTTTAAAAAAATTCTGAAATGTGTATTTAGCTGTTTTCTTTCAAACTACGTAATTTTTCTTTTTTTCCCCAGTTTTACTGAGATATAATTGACATATAACATTGTATTAGTTTAAGGTGTACATTTTTTATTTCTTTCAAAACACACAGCAGAGGAAAATACAGTGCATGCTCCAGCTGTGTGTGTGGTGGGTGACTCGGGTAACAGGACCGTTGTCACCCGTGTGTGTAGGTACATTGGCAGAGAACCATCTGGCAGGCAGGAAGAGGTGGGAGTGTACACTTTGAATCCACAACTGCTAAATTTTATCTGGACTGGCTGTTCTTAGTGATGAAAATCAGATATTAAAGCAGGGAGGCCAAGAGCTTCCTGAGAACAGCATTATGGGATGGGATGGTACTCTGTCCCATTAATTTAGAGGTCTTTGCATAGTGGTTTGGGATTATTTACCAGAAGTGCTGCTTAGGAACAGATACATAAAGAAAAAATGGCCACAAAGTCTTTTTTCATCTCTATATAATTTCAACTTCATATTTTCATTTAAACCTTCAGCGTTTCAGTGGAATTAACATTTCCTATTTCACCACTCAGTTCACAGACTTGAAAGAGTGCTATTTAAGTAAACTAGAACAACATTCATAGCATCTCTTTTTTATGTTATTTACAAGACATGCAAAAGAATCACGACAGGATAGAGCTTTCTTCCTTAGCTTTATTAAATTCAACTTGACACCTGTAACTTCATTATATGTTAAATCAACTTCATTCCTCTATTCATCCCAGGTAAAATACGTATATCCAATGTCTATGTCTCCAGTTCATGTCCAAGTGAGCAGGGATCATTATCTGTTGTAGCTATTAAAACCTGCACTGTTGAATTTATAGTAAGAGAATTAAACTATATAGGATAAACTACTTGTGGCTAAATTTTTTTTTTTTTAAATCTGCTTCCTAAAACTGGGGTAGATGAAGAACGTATATTTGCAAACACAATCTATTTAGGGATTTCATTTGTTTCTATCCCGTCCCTCAAACTCAGCTTAAATTCAGCAGCCCCTAATTAAAAATGACAGGGTTTCATTATAGCTGTAGTATGGAGTTCTGGAACACGGTGACAACAGTTTAAATCACATTACTCACCCGCACGATCCATTATACTCAAATTTTCCCTGATTCAATTGCATCGCTAAATCTGTCAAGAGACAAAAATAATTTAGCATCTCGTCTCCCTGGACAAAGAGATCATGATGGGGTGATTTTAAACAATGGAACCAGATACTGATCCTAGGCCGGAAGGTCCTTTTTAACACTGCAAGGTACTTCTGGGTCTGTTTAAGGCATACAACTCTCTCTTCATGTTGAAATGACCTCATCTTTAATATAAATTAAAGATAAAATGTGTTTTCACAAAAATAATGCTAGAATTGCTTTAAAAATTGGATTCAATAGATGAGTCATACGATTGCTCAATTAGTGTTGAGTGCAGATGTCCAACTTGATATAGTTGGAGAGGATATGCCTTATGACCCCAGAGGAAGGGTATGCTGGAGATACCCAGTAGGGTCATGTGAATATAAAACCTGATTAAAAAGAATCAAAAATAAACTAGGCAAGTATCATGTAAAAACTGGTGACTTAGGGAGAATTCTTCTAGTAAGGTCTACACTGGCAGGGCATGGCTTATGACTTTTCCCTTGCAGGAGGACACAATCTTCTTTCTCTCTTCTCCATCAGCAAAAGAAATGGGTAAGCTGATGGATTTTTTCCTTCTTCAAAATGTTGTGGTTACACTTAACATTATGGAATAAAACATAAGCTGACCTAGTGAATAAACTCTTTTAGGATCATTTAATCCATACAGACTCACTGACAACTGAGAACACAACTTGACCCCTTTTTTAAGTAAATAAAATAAGTGCCTTTTTGTTTTATTTTGCCTCTGCTAGAAACACTCTAGGACTGTACTGGTACCTGGTCATAGTTTAGTAGAGCAAAGACTCAGGGGGACGCTGTGTAGCAATTGGACTCCAGCTTCTGGTCACGGGAGAGGCTCTACCAAGGGGTGGGAAATACCGTCAGCTCACATTCATGCCAAAAGGATGAAAGTCAAAGGAACTTTCAATCAGTCTAGATAACAGGGAGCAAGGAGAATAGAGATTCTCAAAGTAGGGTGGATGAACTAGAAAAAGAAAATGTCCTTTTCCTTTTGGGAAACATGGAAGGTACTATTATACAGCAAAGAACTGAACAAGAAAAGGGTTCTTTCTTTTGTTTTGTTTTACCAATTTTAAGGACCATGCTGTGGAATTAATATAGAAAGTGAATAGATTGTGTGGCATATTTCTCACCTGTTTTAGATAAGCTACTAGAGCCCAGTATTTTCCAATTGTGATCCTAGGCTCTTAGGATCCTTTACCAGACCTAGTGGTATGTCAGTGGCTGTCACTGCAGCTCCCAAAGTGTTCTGCATGGTCTCTCCCACCTTCCAAGCAAACCATGAAAACTAAAAAATTTGCTTATGCATTTATAAAAATTGACTTCTCTCCTTGCAGGAAAAAAATCATTATATATTGGAAATCCACCCTTGAGTACGCTTTGGAGGACCCAGTTATAGATTACTGCCTCTAAGAAAATGTAACTCCTCACACACCATTTTAGCAGAGTCTGCTGCATAACTTCTGCACTTTTGTGGTGAGGGTCCCTGTGTTGTTGACATCTGCTGAGTGTTAACAGCGGGAAGGGTACTTTCCAAAGGAAAAATGAGTCATAGTTATTGTAGAGAGACACTCAAATTCTTCTCATTTAATTCTGTTTCTGGAAATGAAGATAAGTTTGATCCAAAAGGAAGAAAAATTAGAAATATTTTGCAATGGGGGGCAACGTTTAGCAGATTAGTCATGGCATTTTCAAAGGGAAATTCAATTTAAATCAAAATATATTCTCTTCTCCCATTGTTTCATTGCTCTATTTTGAGTTTTTAATTTCTCGCCATTACATAAATCCAACAACACATTGTTTTGCCATATGTCTGCTTCCTTTAAAAAATGCCCACAGCCAAATGATGGCATCTCTTGGCACCATCCTGTCAAAGTGTTCTCGTGGAATTTGAGGTCACTGGACATCAGTTCCTACCTGGGGTTTGATAGTTCAGTGAAACCATCTGGCAGCCAGCGTTCCAGAAAATCTGAGGCATGTAATTACTGGAATCAACTCGGCCTCCCTTGGGGTAAATACGACTCATTTGTCGCTTATTGTAACTGTGTAACTTATTAAGGAGAAGGGAAAAAAGAATATTCTGGCAGCGATAAA